GTCTGTCTGCAGGGACAGGTCTCCTTATGATTGAGGGTCCTTCCGTTTCAAAAAAAGAAGAGAAAATTTTGACATTTCAGCCCCAGGATCTGGAAAGCCCTGACTTACACCCCTGGAGGAAGCCTAGGTGCATCTCACCTAAGCTTCTTGGCACAACCTGGGAAAAGGGGGACCCAGGGAACCAAGTTCTTCCAAGGTCCCTGGCTGAGACGAAGGATCAGACCCACATCTTGTAACACTTGGTCTGCAGACATTTTCCTTCACAAATGTGCTCTCCTCTCTAATGCAAGGTAATGCATGCTGATTATAAGAGAGTTAAGAAAGTTGAGGAGTCCAGCTCATTGGATGCTCTTAATGTGGAGGGCAGAGGAGATGCAGGCATCGAAGAAGAAATAAACACATAATCCCAGCGCCTGACGATGATCACCATGAATATTTTATGCATCTCTTTCCTTGTTTTCGTTTTTGTTGAGTGCACACAGTAGAGACTTTCAGGTGAGCGTGCTGCGACCTCCTCTTGTGCCCTGATTACGATTCTGCTCCTGGGTTTTTTAGATTTCCCCACGTAGCATGATCAGGACAGCGTCCCCCGCTCACCCCCGTGCTTTGCCTCCCCCGTCCATCCCCAGCAGAACATTTCTCAAAGTGAAGCCAGGGATTCGGCTGCAGAATGAGATCAGTGCAGATTCTCTAACCTCATTCAATCCCAAGGACTCGTCCTGTGTGTGTGGAGCCCTGTGCCCCCATGGGTCTAGCTGTGCCCGACTTTGAGCCAGAGCCCCGGGCACTGGTATTTGTCTGATGCTGGTGACTGACACACAGTGAGAGTCAACAGCATCTCTCATACAAACAGGGCTCTCCCATCAAGACACGTAAAAATAAATACTTCTTCTGGGATGACAAACGAAACTGCTCTATCTCCAGGATATGAACCCCTTGGTAGCCTCATGGTCCTTCTATGGCACACTTTTGATTTAGTTTCCTGCCGTTTTATTTTTGAGTTTAAGATCTGTGGCTTAGCATCTGTGTCCCTAGCATTTGAGGGTGCAGAGAGGGGGTCCTAACAAGCAGGCTTCAGGAAGCTCCCCGCTCACTCCCCATCTTTGGCCATCTGTGCCTCCCGCCCATCCTCTTTATTGGTCCTGAATCCATAAATAACCAGGCCACGAGCTGGGACAACGGAATAATGGTCTCAGATCTGGGGGCTTCGGGTGCCATCTGCAGTCTCTGATCAGACCCCGAGTGTTAATGGGGCCTGTAGGATTGGGCGGGAAGGGGCAGGGTGTCAGGTCAGTTTGCAAATGGCATGTAAATCAATAGCCTTTGTTGTTCAGGAAGAGGCAGGAGACCCTTTGGTTGCCCTAAGCAAGTGCTCTGCAGTTTAGAACGGGATCCTCTATTACATGTTATCTTCCCACGAGGCCCCAGCAAAGCTGGCCATGAGGCAGGGACCACCGGGCTTTGTGGAACGTGACCATAATCTCCTGAAGCAGAGAACCAGCTCCCAGCCTGGCTGTGTGATCCCGGCAAGCCTCGCCCTGTCTCTGTGCTTCGGCACCAATAAGGGTAGAAGAGCAAGATCTATTTTCTTGCTAGGGAAGTGGGTGGAGATGAGCGATGGAGACAAGACAGTGGACAAGTAAATGTCACCAGGGCACTTATCCCTGTCCTTCAAACCTAATTCATGGTCTCATAATATTTTATAAATCAATGGCATTGAAAGGCTTCCTGAAATTTATCTATTCCCGGCTTCTTCAAATTGTTTTTAAACCCTGGAAGCAGCTTTGCAAAGGAGACCCAATTGAAGAGCGCAGACAGGCAGGACAGATCAATGCAGACATGCTCCGGTGAAATGGATCATGGTGGCCACTCGCGATCTTCCACCAGGCCATCACTGAGATCAGCCCTGAACTGGCTCTACGGGTCCCCTGTGGGGCCAAGATGCACCGCTGGAGAAGCGCTGATGTAGCCCGATGCCTCCTGTTTCCCAGGGGAGGCTGAAACCCTAGCAGGCGAAACCCAGGATGAAAATCCAGGTTTCTAGAGGGTTATTTAGGGAAGCAGAAGGAGGGACAGGCAGCAGTTGGGTTTCTTGTCCCAACTGCAGGGGACAGAAGCAGCTGGGATGACAACCCAGAGCACGTGCAACTGGGTACTTGCCAATCACTGAGGGTCCCTTAGGGTGGGAAAGGCAGGGTTATCAACCAGGGCAGAGAAGGGACAACTCGAGGGGACCTCCAGGGCTGTTCCTGGCCTGCGGCTGTGTGGAGAAGTAGTTCCGACGGGAACTCGGGAGCCAGACGGCCTGGTTCTGAAAATTGGCTTTTACCACTTCTTAGCTGTGTGACTTGGGCAAATTGCTTAACCCATCTGTGCCGAAGTTTTCTCATCTAATAAAACAGGGTGCTCCCCGTCGAAATGATTATAGGTTGAGAATGCGTAGAACACACCCGGCCCGTGGCTCAGCACAGCTTAGCCACACAGCCATGCCATGGATACGGGCCGTTTCCCCTCGTGATGGTGGGGCTGGCAGCAGATCAGACTTCAAAGCGCAGCTCCTACTAAGGCGTCCTGTTTTGCGCCATGGTAAGGCCAAGAAGAGTCCATAGTCCTTGACTCCTAAGATGGCTGAAAGGATTGGTTAAGAAAATCAGCACAGAGTCCTTATCTCTCAACCTGGTCCTAGTTAGTGACCTGTGAGTCCAGGGAGGAGCCAGCGAGGGCGGGAGGTGAGGAGGAGCTGGGGAGGCTGCTGCCTTCAGCTCTGCACCTCCTGCCTCCGGCCCAGTTCCTCTGACCTGGGTCCCTGGGGAGGCTCTGGGACCTGCAGCCAGGGCTCCTCCGGGACAGAGTGGCTCCTGTCCTGGATGCAGCACTAAGAGCAGTTGCTGTTTATAACACTGAGGTCCGAGCACTGGAGGGGGTGGCAGGGGCCGGCCGGCAGGGTTGTCTATGACACCCAAGCCCCTCCCATGGCTTCTCACATGCCCAGTGTCCAGGGAGACCCAGAGTGTGGAAGGGTGGCCGGTCTTCTCCATCAGGATCCACTGGCTGTGACTGCACTGAGGCAGTAAGTGCTCGTTTGAGGGCAGGGCAAGGAGAGGGCTCCAGCTTGGTGATGCTTAAAACCCCCCAAAACAGGATGGCCAGGCCCAGGTCATCTCACACAGCCACGTCGCCTTGTTACTCAGGGACCCCGGGACCAGCAGCAGCACCACTTTGGAGCTTTCTAGAAAAGCAGCACCTCAGAAGCCTGGTGGTTCAGAATCTGTAATTCGCCGAGGCCCCCTGTCACCTGTGTGCATGTTACATTTGGCAAGATCTAATGTCACCTACCCAAGACTCGGTTTCTGGTTTTGATTCTGCCGGTTCCCAACTGTGTGGTCTTGAGCAAGTCACTTAAAATCCCTGTGCCTCCCTTTCCTCCTGTGAAAAATGGCGTAATAGTAGTGCTGAACTCCTGGGGAGGGGGGCAAAGCACTTCATACTGTGCCGGGCAAGTGCTGCTGTGTCAGGTAAGCTGTTATTATGCACCACTGGACACGCAGTTCCGCTTGCTTTTACTGGGATACAAGCATGACGAGACAGCTACCGTGACCTACCCAGTCATTGAGACAAGTGCCCAGATGTGCTGAAGTGGCTTCGAGCGCACAGCAGGGATCAGAGCAGACCAGATCCCTGCCCAGAGGATCTCCCAGGCCGGAGGAGAGCGGCGTTGGTTTCACCATCAGCTAAGAGCTTAATGCAGATGATCTCGTAGCTACTTATAAATGTGACAGGTGCCCCGGGGAAGTACTGGTCACTCTTCCTGCAAGGACAGTAGGTGGTAAGAGGCTTCAGGGGAGTAATGGATCCTGAAGGAGGAGGGGACCCACGCAGGGAGAACACAAGGGGGTGTGTGTTACAGAAAAAGAGGTCACAGGCACGTGCATGGGGGTGCATTCCAGGCACGGGTGACAGAGCGTGTGAAAGCACAGGGGACAACAGGAACTGGAGGAAAGCTGGTGTAACCAGAGACACTGCTCTCTCCCCTGAAGTTGCACCAGAGCCACCCAGAGGGCTTGCAAACCTAGATTGCTGGGCCCACCTCTAGAATTTTGGCTTCAGCTGGGCTGGGACCCAAGAAGGCACACATTCATAAGTTCCTGGGTGTCGGTCATGCTGCTGGTCTATGACGATGCTTGGAGGCCCGCTGCATGGGAACAGTCAGGCAAGACCAGGAGAAGAAGAGGTTCAAGGTTTCCCACATAGGGCCACAAGAGCTGCAAGGCACAACGAGGCACCAGGGGCTGGGGGTGACTGGATCCAGCTTGTTTGAGGAATGTCAACATGGCAGTGGGGGGCAGAGCAGGTGGTGGAAGGACATAGGTGGCAGCAGGAAGCCTGTGAGGAGGCTACTCAGTCATCCAGAAGAGAGACGGCAGTGGCTGGGTTGAGGTGAAGACGGAGAGGAATGGACAGATTCCAGAAGAGTCAGAGAGGCGGACACATAGCAATTGGTGATTGGACTGGATGGTTGAATGTCAGGGGAGCCGGGGGTCCAGGAAGACCCCAAGCCTTCTGGTTTGAGCTAGTTAACCTGTGGCCACGTCATCTCCTGAGCATGGGGATCAGGTTGCTGGGGATGGGGACAGAGATGGAGAGCCTCCAAGATGTCAAGTTTTGGTTTGAAAGCATGAGTGTCAGATCCAGGTGACGTCATATGGATAGTTGGGTCACAGGGCTGGAGCTCGGAAGGCAGTTCCTCAGGAGAAGGCAGCTTGAGATGGAGAGCGCCACCGCAGGTTCTTCATGGTAAGTCGATAGAACAGCTGTTGGGGGCGTGAGCTTTGAGCCAGTCTTTGGTGGTTCTGAGAAGGTATCAGAAGTTTGCACACATGTGCACTTCTCTGGAGAAGGGTCCACAGCCAAGGTCAGAAGCTCAAGGGCAGATGGCCCTGAAGGGTATGCGCATGGGCCCTGGTCCTGTGAGGTCCTTAGTGCCTTGTCTCTGCTTCCAGGCGCCTGGTTGACCGACTGGAGAACATGAGGAAGAGCGTGGCCGGGGACGGGGTGAACCGCTGCATACTGTGCGGAGAGCAGCTGGGGATGCTGGGCTCGGCCTGTGTCGTGTGTGAGGACTGTAAGAAGGTACCTCGCCCGCTCCCCTCCTTTCTTGCTCAGCGCTGGCTCTGGGGGCCTTGGATCTCGGGGATGGAACTTGAATCCTGCAAAATAGGAATTCCCCTGTGATGCTCTCATGCCCAAGTGTCTCCCAAGGTCATCCTGATCTCACTTCCTCCCCTAATGTCCCCTTAGAGCTCAGCTCCATACAGGATAGACTTGGCTGTGTCTCAGTGAGTCACTTGTCAGCTAAAGAGCGTGCCGGGCACACGGGCACACACGCATGCGTGGAGGGCCAGCATCCCCTCACCTGGGGTTATGGGTAAAGGAGACTCAGAAATCCCCTGTGCAGGCAAGTTAGAGCTATTGGGCTCTGAGACCATTTTTCCTCAAAGGGAAACCTCTCTGAGCTCTCTTCCCCCCTCCGCCCTTTGCCCCAAACTGTCTGCACTCGACAATGCCAGGCCAGAGATAACCCTGTCTTTAGATCTATTTGATGATGATCAAGGCGATTCCAATGAATGTCTCCAGAGGGAGGACATTCGTGATGCCCCTCGGTCCCTTCTGCGTGGTATCCCATTTGGTAATTAACGTGGAATACTGGGGAAAGCTTATCTATTCTGAAAAACTTTTCTTGACTCAGCCAACCAGATAAGAAGAATCGTGTGACTTATCAGGTTTTCCTTGCTGTTTGGCTGTCAAGAAATTCAACCCCAAACATAGTGTTCCACCCCACAGACATGGCCTGTAGTCAGGTAGCCTCCTTCTCCACGGAGAGTTGAACTGGTCTTTGCCAAGGTTGCCCTGGATCCTTTGAAGGAAGAAAGAAGAAAATGGGTATATGGTCTTTCCTCTTAAAAATCATGTCAATGCGGCATAGTTACTGAAAACTGTCCCTAATGGACCCTGGAGAATTCCTTCCTCCAGGGCTTGGGAATGACGCCAGTGCTCATTATTGGAAATAAGACTCAAATTGGAACTTGATTCTAATGGACCTTGACCATGGAAGAAAGGGTACGAAGGAAGGAGAGTTCTAGATCTCCGCCCCTCCCAGACCCTTCTGCATCCCCAGCAGCTCAGGGCATGGCTCGCCTGAGCGCTGGTTGGGCTCTTTTGTCCCCAGAACGTCTGCACCAAGTGTGGGGTGGAGACCTCCAACAACCGCCCGCACCCCGTGTGGCTCTGTAAGATCTGCATGGAGCAGAGAGAGGTGAGTGGTCCTTTCCCTTTGCCCGCCCCCTTCTCCTCCCTGGGATCAGGGAGACTGGAGGGCTGGAGGCTGGGCGTTCTGGGTGGGTCTTGGGCCTTAACTTTGAAGGGGATCAGCTCGGCCAGCTGTGAACTGGCAGGACGGTCTCTGGGTGTTTGGATGAACTTCTTGTCTCCTCACCTGGCGCCTGACACTTTGCCTTCCCTCCCCCACCCCCTCTCCATCCTCAACCCTCTGGTTGCCATTCTTCCCTCATCTGTCTCTCACATTCTGGGTTTTCCTCTTCCAACATCTGCTGTTTCTCTTTCCTTCTTTCCTAAGTCTCCTCCATTTTTCTTTCCTCCAAGTTTCCCCTTTATTTGAGGCATTTCTCCCCCTGATCCTGTGTCCATGGTTTCTTCCCTCTGCCCTCTCTCTCTCTCTCTCTCTCTCTCTCTCTCTCTCTCTCTCTCTCTCTCTCTCTCTTCCTCCCAGACCTGCTTTTTATTATTCATTTTATCTCAATGCAATGCTTTCTCCTCCCCCCAGTTTCTTCTCCGCTCATCCCCTGCTACAGATCCTTGCCTCTGAGACTGTCCCAATGACCATGTCCCCATCAGTAGCAGCCAGGGGCCTGGAAGGACGCAGTGGGCACTCTCCAGCAGGGCAATCAAGGAGAGTTCCATAAAGGTGCCCTTTCCACGGGGCAGGGCAGGGTGGAGGGGAGTAGGTGGCAGGGAAGTGTCCCGTGCACCACTGGCCTGCTGTGACCACTCCTGGGACCAACCGGCTAGGGAGAGAGCAGTTGGCAGATGGGAAGACAGGAACCAACCACTGTCCAGCCAGCAGGGAGGGAACCAAAGAAACACATAGCATGGCCTAAATGTCCTGCCAACCCCTGCTGAAGACAGAGGTCACCGAAGCCCACTTACTCCTGTCTGCACTGGGCAGCCCTCTGGGGCACAAAGTGGGGTGGAAAAGGATCGACATGAGATGTTCAGGGCGCCATCCTGTCTGGCCCTAACCCACAGGGCAGGTCAAAGGCGAGAGGTCTTGGGACAGCTGTGGGCAGATCACCCTCTCTCCCAGGAGTGCAGATGGATGGCCTGACGCCAAGCCCTCACCTTTCCACTCCCAGGCTCTGCACTGTTGGGACAACCCCTAACATTTCTGACCTTCCATTTCTCCATCTGTGAAACGGGTCTCATCAGACCCTTTGGATTGAGTTTTCAGGGCTGGCGTGTGGAGTCAATAAATGTGACTGCCATTGTGTCCGCGTGCCGTGGACCCAGAGCAAAAAGATTTTGAAATTGGTCCATGGAGGTGAGAGCGGTGGCCACAGCTCCTCCTCCCTCCCCAGGTGTGGAAGCGCTCTGGAGCCTGGTTCTTCAAGGGCTTCCCCAAGCAGCTCCTCCCACAGCCCATGCCCATAAAGAAGAGCAAGCCCCAGCCGCCCGCGAGCGAGCCTGCCGCCCCAGAGCAGCCTCCTGAGCCCAAGCACACCGCCCGTGTTCCAGCCCGAGGTAAGACCCGGGGCTCTTTCAGCACCACGGACAGCTCCCGGCCAACTGGTCTACCTGGAGTTGTCCCTGCAGTGGGCTGGTTTCCACTGGGTTGGTGGCCGATCAGGGAACTCTCCAGAGAAGCCAGGCTGCCAAAAAGCTTTACTGTCGTTCTTGTTCCTGGTGGGATGTGTAGAGGTATCAAAGAAGGGGAAGTTAAAATTAGGAACTGAGAGAGACACACTGGAGCCCTGGGGTGGAGGTGGGAATTGGGGGGTGGGGGTGGGGGTGGGGGTAGGGGTGGAGATGGGGGTGGGGTGGGGATGTTTCGGGGAAGGCCTTTCCGACCCTTCCCATTCCTTCTCTCAGCCCTAAGCAAATGTGAAATTGGACAAATTAAAAGTGAAAGATGAATAGAAAGAAATTAGTAAAAAGAAAATTATCACTACTATTGATGGTATCGCGCTGATCCGAGTATTATTATTAAATATTAAAGTGAAGACTAAAAGAATCCAGAAAAAGGCAGCCTCGATAAAAACACACTTATCTTAATTGGATTAGGCCACTCAGGCTGCCCCAACAAGGCCCTCGCAATAATTTCAATTACCACCAAGTGATAAAATCTGGCCGTAATGGCCGCTCTGGGGAGGAGCGCAGCCGAGTTTCTGGAAGGACCGTCCTAATTGAAGGTCTCAAAAATTACAGCATCCACCTGCGACTCCCACAGAACGGCCTCCTTAGGTACCTGCTCAGTGCTCAGCAACCAAAAGACTTTCAACAAATGCTTTCTTCCTGGCAAGGCATGAGCGACTTCCACTGCCTACAGGAATTGCCGAGTTCAGCAGAGGCTGCAGCCCAGTCTCCACCCCTGGGTCACCCTGTTGGCAGAGCAAGCCCTGCTCCCTCCGTGCGGCCAGATTGTGCAGCCTGACTGTTCTTTTTTAAGCCTCTCTGTGTGTTCGTGTGTACTTGCATGAGCCAAGGAAACAATTTCACATGGTAAAGAAGAACTAGATCAGAGGGGAAACCGCAGGGAGACATTTTAGAGTTTTTCCATGTCCTGGGAGAGGTGAAGGAACCCCTTTGAGGGCTTCTTCAGTTATCGCTCTCCAGACACCAGAAAATCACGCTCCCTATTATTTCTCTCCCTCCAGCTGACACTGAAGACAGAAGGGGCCCGGGTCCCAAAACAGGTGGGTTCTGCCGCCTGCCTTGCAATTTTGGACAGGAGTCCTTTTACCCCGTTCCTCTGTTGCCCTTTATCTATTCAATGCTTTTCCTTCCAGGACCTGACCCAGCATCTGCTCCTGGGAGAGGAAGCTATGGGCCTCCTGTGCGCAGGGCCTCCGAGGCCCGCATGAGCTCATCTACCCGGGATCCAGAGAGCTGGGACCATGGTCAAGGTGGGGGAGCTGGAGACGCCAGCCGCAGCCCAGCAGGTAAGCAAGATGGGGAAACCCAGTTACGCCCCTGAAGGAGGAGAAGTGGAAAGAATGCGGAGGACAGTGTGTTTTCTTCATTTGGTCATGCTGTGTTTATTAAGCACCTACTATACACCATGGACTCTTCTAAATGCTGGTCCTAGTCTGGGCTGGAGGAAACACAGGATCATAACCAATTCAAGTTCTGGACACCCATGATTTGGGTTGTGTCCATTTCTCACCCTAACATCATATGTAAGAAAAACATGATTTTTTGCTTTTGTGTGTGTGTGTGGTGCTGGGTATTGAACCCAGAGTCTTGTGCATGGGAGGCAAGTACTCTACCAATTAAGCCATATCCCCAGTCCCTTTTGCCTTTTAAAAAAAATATATCTGTGGGAAAATACTCCTTGGCTTTGAGAAAAGTAAAGATGCTTCACTCTCAAGACCCTCCCAAGCTCTCCCTTCCCTGGGCACGTGGCCTCTGCTCCCTGTGAGGATGGGGTGGGTCAGCAGGACCAGGATGTCATCACAGGTGCTGTCGTCTAGCCTGGTACCCCTGGGTCCACCAGGGGAAGATTTACACAGCAAGGGTGCCCACTGGGGAGAGTCCTCTGACCCTAGATTTTAAAGAAAATGCCAAATAGGTTGGGGACATCTATGTTCCATATGTGTCTGTCTGAGACCTCAGCTGAGCCTGGATCTAAGTCGGACAGGCTGAATGTTGAGGTCCCATGTTGAGTTTGGGTCTTTACTTCCCAAATTGGGGCTCATGGCATAGCACTTCAGTGCCCCCTTCTTCTTGGTGACAAAACTGGGACATACAATCAGCTTCCCAGACTCCTCAATGAACCTGTGGCTCAGATAGACAGAGAAAAATGAATTTCTAGATCCACAGCATCCCAAAATGCTTACTGGGTGCTTACTGTGTCCTTGACGTCATCCCAAGCTCCTCCCCCAAACCATCCCAATTAACCCTTGCCACAACCCCAGATCCAGCTGTGAGATGTCATGGCTCCCATCTTACAGGGGGTGAAGCCATGTTCCCTGGGGCACATTACCCATGACTGGTTAAAATGACAATTCAGCCCACATCTCACCACAAAAGCCTGTCCTTTTTGTTTTTTTCTGCAAGAGGTGAAATTTCTATTACAATGTCTTCTATATTTTTGTAAAATATATTAAAATTATGTGTTTCATTAGAAGTATCATTTGCTATTTCAATTTTTTTTTCATGCACAGTTCAGTGACAGAAAGTACACTGTGGTGCAACCATCACCACCATCCATTCCAGAGCTCCTTCATCATTCCAAACTGAAATTTTGTGCCCATTCAACAGTAGCTTCTCATTTTGCCCATTTTCTGTCCCTGGTGACCTTGACTCTTTTTTCTAGGAATTTGACTATTCTAGATACCACATGTAAGTGGAATCATACAATATCCATCTTTTTGTATGTAGCTTATTTCACTTAATGTAACATAGTCACAGTTTACACAAGTTGTAACATGAATCTGGATTCCCTTCCTTTTCAAGGTTGTATAATATTCTGTTGCATGGATATGCCATATTTTATTTATCCATCCATCCGTCAGTGGGCGTTGGGGTTGTGAATAGTGCTGCTGAGCACGGCATACAAATACCTGTTTGAGTCTCTTGGGGATATACCTACAAGTAGAATTGCCACATCTAATGACAATTCTATGTTTAATTTTTTTGAGGACCAGCTGTGCTATTCTCCACAGTGTCTGCACTACTTTTGCATTTCTTCCAATAGTGCACAGGGTCTCAGTTTCAGTACATCCTCTCTGATGCTTGTGATTTTCTGGTTTTTCTTGGTTTCTCTTTGTTGTTTTGTGTGGTTGTTAAGTAGTAGCCTTCCTAGAGTGTGAAGGGCTCATTGTGGTATTGTAGATTTGGTTTGCATTTCCCTAAGATGAGTGACACGACATGTCTTTTCATGTGCTCATCGGCCCTCTGTATGTCTCCTTCCGAGAAACATCTATTTTGGTCTTTGGCACATTTTCTAAGTCACGGGGTGGGGACTGTTGTGCTGTAGGAGCTCTTCATGGATTCCGGATATTGATGCCTCATCAGATACACCATTTGTAAATACCTTCACCCATTCCACAGGTTGCTTATTCACTTTCCATTTGATGCACAGAAGATTGTTTGTTGTTTTTAATGAAGTCCAATCTATCTACTTTTTCTTCTGCTTCCTGTAGTTTTCATGTCATAGCGAAGAAATCACAGTGATGGAGATTCCCTTTGAGTTTTCTTCTAAGAATTTTAGAATTTTAGCTTTTGCCTTTGAGTCTCGGGTCCATTTTGAGTTAATTTTTGTATATCCAATCCTATCCTTTTCATCTCTATATCATTTTGCCTCTGGGGCTACAGACACTCCCAGGACAATCCTGAGCTGGACTTAGAGCTCCTGTCCCTCAGGAGTCAATGTAATGTCCTCTGGGTGGATGGCGCTTTGGGATTCCTCCTGCTCCACCTGTAGCTGAGCTAACCGCTCCCTGCCCTGAATTCCCAGAGACGGGGCCGGGAGGCAGCACTAGCCAGTGTCTCCCTCCCTGGTCCGATTCACACCAACGTGTGTCTCTCTCCATTAACTCAAGTTTGCAAACATTTATTGAGCACAACTACGATTTGAGCTCTTTCTCCTTGTTTTCTAGCTGCACTAAGATTCCCGGTTGATTGTAGGCTGTTCAAGATTTGCAGACTTGAATGCACAGTTAGTATCACAACTCGAGGGTCCTGAGATCCGACCCTGCACCAGGCATGTGATCAAACTCTGCAGGTGTTAAGCCCTGTCGACTGTACCAGTCACCCTCACCTAACAGATATGGAAAAGAAGCTCATAAAGAAACCTTGCCCAGGGTCGCATAAAAGTCATGGCTTGTCTGGTATCAGAACCCAAGCAGTTCCCGTGTAGAGCCTCTGCCGCTAGCTGCTCTGTAGCTCCCACTGGCTGGCAGAGTGGAGAATGGCTCCAGGGAACAAATTGCCATTGAGACTCTTTTGTTCCAGAGCTTAACCCTGGAGTCTCAGGATCCACCCTTGACACAGTGTGGAAACCCCTCCAGTGGTTCTCTGAGAGGGACTTGATGCCCCTCTGCTATACTCTTCATAACAGGATCTCCTAAAGAGCCCCTGTCATTCAACATGGCTCATTCCAATAAATAAATTATTTATTTATTTGGGTACCATGGATTGAACTCAGGGCCACTCAACCACTGAGCCACACCTAAGCCCTATTTTGTATTTTATTTAGAGATAGTGTTTCACTGAGTTGATTAGCACCTTGCCTTTGCTGAGGCTGACTTTGAACTCGAGATCCTCCTGCCTCAGCCTCCAGAGCCACTGGGATTTTAGGGGTGTGCCACCATGCCGGGCTCCATGACTATTTATTAAGCACCTACTATACCCTAAGCCTGGTATTAAGTGCTGGAGATAAAGGTATCATGTAGACCTGGTCCCAGCCCTTAGGAGCTCACACTCCAACAGAAGGAAAAGCAACATGACCCATAAATAGCAAGAGAGACTTATAACCGCCGTAACAGAGGAGCCAAGACTAAGGAGGATGGGTTATCACTCACATTAGCTGAGTGTTCAAGGTGTTCTGGGCACCAAGTTCTGTATATGCACTGCCAGAGGAAGCCCCCAAAAGAACACTGTGAGGGACCTGGAAACCCAGAACATCTAACCCTATTTTTGGAGTTCTAGAAAGACTTCACAGACAAGCTGGTTTCTAAGGGAGAACTATATCAAGAAAATAAATAAATTAGGTACAGCACATTCAGTGTATGTGTGTGGTGAGGGTGGGTGGGGTAATACATTCCAGGTAGAGGAACAGAGATAAAGCATGGCCAGGCTAACAGTGGTCTATGAGTCCATAATGTGGAGGGGTGATAGAGGTGCCCCTCCTAAAATTGGACAGTGCACAACCTGAACTACTCTAGACCACAGCCCTCCCTTGGAGATATCCCAGAGCCAGTCCATGCAGGGCTTCCTATTCCAAGAAAAAAAGAGGTTGAACTTGAGAAATAGTGTTACCTTGCACTGGAGCTAAATGGCTTCCCCATTGCCCACAGCCAATTGTTCTTTCTGACCCAGGCTGCCATTTTTGTCTTCTGGGACTCCAGAATAAAATTCTCAAGTTTCCTTCCTCCACTTAAGATTATCCTTCTGCCCTCATTTCCAGCTGAATAACCAGTAATTCACAAGATATTAATTCGTCCACCCAACACTTATTGAGCACCTACTGTTCTAATGATGGCAAACATTTATGGAGCACTCCAAAAGCTAGACACCCAAGTAAGCCCTTGTCATGTTCATTGAGTCCTCACAACAACCTTGTGAGATGAGCTTCATTACTATTGCCGTCTTCCCTTCTCAAACCTTCCTATTCAACACTGCACTGGCGATCCCAGCCATTGCAATATGACAGGAAAAAATATGAGGCAGAAAGTTTATAAAGGAAGAAGCAAAACAGTTTCTATTTCAGATCACATGAGACACTCCTGAAGGAACCTATTGTGACAATCAGAACTAGTGAGAGAATATTGTCAGCCCACAGGATGCAAGGTTAAAACACAGAAAGAAAGGTCCTCAATTGCAGATTGGGGACCCTAGTGCCACATGCAGCATTGAGCAGCTCAGGGTCTGGTATACTGGAAGCCCCCAGAGAATTCTGGCTGCTGTTTTTCTCATGGATTCAGTGTCCATCTCCTTCCTTGACCAGGCTGCACCCTCCTAGAGGTAATAGACGGCTGTGCTGCCCATCTCTGCAGAGGGCTGGGCACTCTGGGGATGTTCAATGAACATTTGCTGATGCACAACTGAATAAATACAAGAACACAAAAGAGCAAAACAAACAGTGGTGCTAATGTAGGATGCAGGACAAGACTTGGTGGTTTGTAAGGTTGGGCAGTGCTAGCAAGATGCCCTCTGTCATGAGCATCTGTCCAGAAAAAAAGAGCTGATCTGAATTCAGGAAAGGTATGATCCAGACCATGAGATAAGAGTCTGGGGATTTCTTCCTGAAATGTCACACATGCTGGCGCCAGGACCTGCTTCTCTCAGACCCCTGCCAGCCCCATCCAAGAGTCTCAGACTCAGACTCAACACCAGCTTCCTGAGTTCAAACCCTGGCACTGCTGCTAACCAGCCATGAGACATTGGGTGAGCTCCTTAGCTCCCTATGCCTCAGTTTTCCCACCTGTATAATGGTGACCACAAAGCACTCGCCTCATGGGATTATTAGTGTAGAGATTAATTGAATGCTCATATGTAAAGTCCCTGGCACATGGTATGTACTGAGTAAATATTAATTCATGATTATTGTAAGATCAGTAGAGCTGTCAATTCTATGAGGCATCTGAGGTTCAGAGAAGCTGAGCAAGGAGCCCAGGGTCACACAGCTTATAAAGGTAAAGGCTGGAATGCAAAGACAGGTCCACGTGATGGCAGTATTTCAATAATAATGAAATAATATCAACTCTGACATGCGTTGAGCGCAGCCTGTAGGCCAAGCATCCCTTCCAGCACTGTGCCTGGATTGGATCTTTGTGCTCTCATCACGGCCCCATCTAGTGGGGGCTGTAATCCCCATTCGACAGATGTCAAAGTTGAGGCCCAAGGGAACAGGTCACTTGTGTCAAGTCACCAGCAGAAACATAATCACAAACCTGTGCCTTTTAACACCCATGCTGCAGCTGGGATTCACCTGCAGGGGCTCAGTGTTGGAAAGAGAAAATACCCAGGAGGCCCGGGCAGTGGCAGGGAGAGCTGGGGGAGGAGGGCTGCTTCCTCAAAGCTCCTCCCTGCAGTGCACACCAGTGAGTGTGTGCATGCGCTTGCGCAGGTGTGCGCCTGTGAGTCCTGACGGCTGTTTCCTTCCCTCCCCTGCAGGATTGAGACGAGCCAACTCAGTCCAGGCCTCGAGACCCGCCCCAGCCTCCGTGCCCAGCCCAGCACCTCCTCAGCCTGGACAGCCAGGTACCTGCCACTTACCCACCCACCTGTCCAGGCCATCACTCCTTAGCGACCCCAACCCTCCCTCCTTCTTACAGAGCTGCTGGGCTTTCTTCAAAATGCAGCCTTCACTGAACCTAAGCTCTTCTGAGACGCCTAAGAGGAGTCATCC